TTAAATCCTCATGAAGAATTTGTTGATATAAGTTAGCATTCATGATGCCATCAATCTTACAATAACCACCAACACCATGAGATGTAAAACATCCCCATATCATAACTGACCCGCCTCCAAATTTTACTGTAGGTTAAATATGATTGGTTCTCCAGGACACTTCCAGTAATACTGCTTCCCATCAGAACTAAAAATTTTGAATTTTGATTCATTAGACCATATTACCTTTGACCAGTCCTCAACAGTCCAATTTTCATACTTTTTTGCAAAGATATATCGAGATTTTCCATGTCTTTTACTAAGGTATGGCATTTTTCTTTTAACCCTTGCTACTAACCCATTATTTCAAAGTACGCGACGAATAGTAGGTGTTAAAAAGTCAAGATTTTCTTTTTCTTGTAGTTGGTTTCGTACTTCAACAGCAGATGAACACCTCTGAAAAGTAATAAGGTTAACAATCCTTCTTTGTATTGGTTCATTTACAGTAGGTGGATGACCTGTTCTTGCTAAGTCTTCAAGAGAGTGGGTATTAAGCCATCTTTTTCTAATACGAGAAACTGTAGAAGGTGCAATTTTTTGAGCCTTTGCTACTTCTCTTGTTGTGTATCCATTTTGTAATGAAAGGAGAATTTGTGTTGACACTTGTTTATTAAGTAGTTGTGACATATCACGGGATCAAACAATAAATAAATAAAAATACCTTTAATACAAATTTTTATGTAGCATAATAATGATCATCTGATTCATATTAAAAACAATCAAAAGTAATGCAATGCGTGATTTATACAAATTGCATATTATTTTATAACCGGAAGTATTAATGAATATTAAAAATTTTAATACCGAAAATTAATGGTATTAACAAATAAAATTTTATTAAAAAGGGCAGGATATCTCTAGAATTGAAAGACTTATTTAAATTTAAAGGATTTTATTTTTTTGTTGCATTATTTATAATCGCCACTTTATAATAATACTATAATGAATATTACACAGCATAGAAGAAAAACATGTTCCTAATATACAAATTGTTCCTAAATTTATGTTACCACTGATGCATTCATTATCAATGCAACAATGAACAAAATGCATGGAACTGTTTGTATTAACTTCGCTTATAGGACAGATTGTTTGTGTATCTTGAAGCTTGTAAACTGAGTATTCTAATCTCATCTGATTGGTAATTTTGAACCTATAAATAACAATAAAAGCAAAACGTTGCTTGTTCCTTTCATGAATGAAGATCAATCATATAATCGCAAATCTTTCGTCATAATTAAAAATTATGTCACCAACGTGCAGGCAATACTGTGCATTGACTCCATTGTCATATACCAAAAAAGAAGCAAGTTCGTAGTATCGACACAAATTCTCTAAAAAAAATTTCGATTCATAACTTATATTCTGATACAATGAAGCCAGTTCTCTATAAAACTTGGAATTATCTTGCGAAATATTTTCGTTGACCTTTCTTCTTGGTATATGTTTCTTTAGGTATACATTTGAAATACATTCGATTAATATAATCATTAAATATAATACATATAATCATTAATAAGATTTCATATAGGTATTTAATATATTCAAATCAAACCTTCGCTTGTATCTTCTTTAGGATTGAAAAATTTTTGATAATAAACCAGTCATTTATCATTCATTTTAAGTAATGTGAAAGGTTTATTAAAGCATTGCTTATAAAAGAAAAATGTTTGTCAACATCTATATTAATTAGATGACTTATTGCAAATAATGTCATATATCGTTTTAGCAAATCAAGGTTTACATTTTTTCAATTCGTTCTTGTTATGATGTTTTTAAATATGCAATATACCATTTCATTTTTTCCCACACCTGTATTTAATAAAGTCGCTTAGTTTCTTGCATGTTGTAATAAAAGATAATTAACATGCAAATTCAGAAGATTTTCAAAATCTTCAAATGTATATATTATTATAAATAAACCATGTATATATTAAAATCCTCTAATAAATAAATGATTCGTTAAATACCTGTGAAAATAATTGTTTTTCATTATCTAAACATTCACATAACTTAATATAATCCTCCTTTGTGAAGGAATGCTTAAATGTGATTGCTGTAGTTTTCGCCATTAAGACCTAACATTTTAACTAGAATTTTACAGCTATATCATCTCTCAAAACTTTTGCTCTTCTTCGTAACTTATCAATTTTGGATTGTTTGAGATGTTAAGGCTTCAAGAACCTATTCAAATCAAATGGTAACATCATAGTAAGGCGTAAACAATCTGACATCATAAAGCTATCGATGTGGTATATCAGATTTGGTAGCTTCTGCCACATTTTTGAATATCCAAATGATTACCAGAATATGATGAAATCTGATATCCCTTCGTTTGTAAATGCATCAACTGTAATTTTAAGAAACTGCAATATCTTTCCAGCTGTAACATGACAGACATCTTGTGGTGATTGAAAGTGTCTTTCTCTTTTCAGTTGATTGAGTATTGGTGGCTGAATGCATAATCCATACTCTGTTGTAAGCTCTTTATGCTTTGATAATGTTAAAACTACAGAGATTTCTTCAAATTGATTATTTGTGAAATGGTGATACATCAGTAAATTTAATAGGACGTAATATTGCGTAAACTTACGTTCTGTAATATTACGAAAACTTACGAGACCGC